AAAAGAGTTCGCTGCCTTCGCTCATATCGTTCTAAAGAAGCTTTAATTTGTTTTCCATGTGTCTTTTTAAAAGAAAATACAGTTGGAACATAATCGATATGAAAGGGGTCATCAGATTTTTCCCTAAAAAAAGATGATTATCAGTTAATAACTTAAAGTTTTAAGAGTTTATTTTTTATTATTTTTATTTAAGTATAACAAATACATGAAAACTATTAGAACACAAAAAAAAACTGAATGGAAAACTAAAAATCTTACCTGTAGTAAAATGAGCACTACACAAACGAGCATTATTTATTTGTTTTACGTTCCATTTTTCTCTTTTAATTGCTGCAACCTATTTGTCTCTCCTGTTAGCACTAGATTCAGATTTATTAGCTGGTATTCGATAAAAGCTCAAATGAGCATTAGCTAATGTTTTTCTATTTGTATATCCATAGGCACAACACACGTCAAGCATATTATTTTATAAATATAAATGATTATTAAAAAAACTTTGTATAAATTAAACCTTTAACTCCGGTTGTGTTTAGATCATATCCCATTCGGAACGATTAATTTTTACTTGCGTATTTTGCCGAACAACATTTAAAAAAATTTGCGGAGCAATATTAATAACAACACAACACACGTGCCATATATTATTGTTTTTTACTTAAAATTGCTTTATTACGTGGTCTTTATTTTGTTAACTTTATTGATTTTACAGTGGGTTATTGTATTAATTCATGGATGTAATAGTTCTTAAAGGTTAGTGTTTCTTTCATATACATAATTCTTAACAATATAATAACAATAGATATATATATATATATATATATATATATATATATATATATATATATATATATATATATATATATATATATATATATATATATATATATATATATATATATATATATATAGTATATATATATATATATATATATATATATATATATATATATATATATATATATATATATATATATATATATATATAGGTATGCGGAAATAGCCGTCTTACGGAACCGAATTTTCTGCTAAAATTCTGTGCCACGTTTTTTGAACTTTTTTTTAGGTAGCGTCAGACAAACGTTTTGTTGTGGTGTTTTTTTTTAGAAAAGTATATTAACATAGAATATTTTTAAAAAGAAGAGAGTTTGATCTATATTTTTATGTATCATTTATGAATGGATGATTTACTTTTAGTTAACTTTATAGATATTGAAAATTTACTTGATGTTGTCATGTGAAATTTGTATTGAAGGAATGCTGAGACATTTTGCAAAACTACTGAGACATTTTTTTAAATCTATTTTTTATTCACCTGCCAAATTTCAAGGAAAAATATTATGTAGCAGATAATTTAAAAAGTGTAGCAGTTTTGGTACCTAAATTTTGTTTTCACAAATTCCGTGATGGATGTTGTTGTGGTTAGGGGGGGGGGGGGAGAGAATTGGAATGTATATAACAATAATTATTACTGTTATAAACAGTAATAATAATACTGTCATTATTACAAATTTGTTGTCATTATTTTATAAATTTTATTATTTTATTTTTATTATTCAATCATAATTTATGTATTTAATATATATACACAATAATTTTGTTTCACAATATTATTGTTTAAATATACTTTTAGATAAAAAGCAGATAATATTTGTTGATGATCAATGAACATGGAAATGGAAAAAGGTTCAGAAAATAAATTTACTTAATTAATGCCATTAACAATGGCAATTATTCTTAAAGTTTCTGGAATTTTAAACCCAAAAGCAAATGAATATATAATTGCTTTCAAAACATTCAAACCAGTTTTAAATGTTTTTTTGACAGTTTTTGTCAAAACATGTCAATTTATTAAATAGCATTGAAAATACAATTATCAATAGTATTTGCATTGTCATGCAAAAACTATTGTCATTTCTATTCTGTTAATAGCATTAAGTTTATAATATTTACTTAATCATTAAGTTAATGCTATTAATATCAATTATTAAGTTAATACTATTCATTATACTAAAGTCTACAATGACAGTGTAGATAGTGTCACTGTCAACTGTTAAATAGTATTGACAAGGACATATTTCTTTACTATTGAAAATATATTATTATTATTATTATTATTATTATTATTATTATTATTATTATTGTAATTTTGATTCTAAGCTGTTGTTAAAGTTGTATATTAATGCATGCATAATAGTAATAGTATTTATATCATGCATGCTTTTATAATACATGCCATATTAGTTCATGCATGATATTAATATTATTAGTATCCAGCATGCATATTATTAATGACATTAATTATTAATGACATTAATATTATGAGATGCAAATAAATATTGTCATATACCAGCAGGCATATTATTAATGATTAATAATATGCAAGCTGGTATGTGACAATAATTATTTGCATATCTTATTTCCATAATATTAAAACATATATTATAATTTTAAAAACTTTAAGGGAACTGAATAAAAAATAAACAAAAAAAATTATTAAAGATATTTTGTTAAAATATCCCTTATTTGTCTTTATAAGTATATATAATTAATTCTTTTTTATTTTAAAAACAAAATATCATTTGTGTGAAAGTGTGTTTATCAATTTAATAACATTATAATTATCATTTTTTTCATTCATTGTTCAGATGAGCGAATGGAACAACGACTAAGTATTTTTATTTCATTTCTTGCATATTTTTAGATTGTGTATTGTTTCACTGTTACTCAAACTGCTTAATTAAACTGCTTTTGGCGTATTAATTTTTAAATACAGATTTATATTTTAGTCATTATTTTTGTTTTTATTTTATTAATATTATTTTTTTTAGCCCAGCTTGAAAAAACTATAGGTAAAAAAAGTTAATTTTTTTTTGTTTACATTTATTTTTTAAATTTGAATCAAATTAGATAAGTTTTCCTATTTCTTCATTTGAATCAAATTAGATAAGTTTTCCTATTTCTTGGTTTAACTAATTTTATATGTATAAATGCTTAATTATTTGGCTAGTTGATACCTGTTTACATTTTTTTAGGTGATTTAGTGAGTCACATTAGTAAGTTAAATGAATGTTACTTTTTTGTCTATTTATTTTTTTATTTATCTATTTAAAAAATTTTAATTATCTATTATATATGAAGATTATTTATCTAATTAAGAATTTGTTAATTTTTTAGATTTTTCTATTTTAACTGCAACATTTGTAAGGTGGCAATAAAAAATTATGTAACTTTTGATAATTATTTGAAAATGTTTACTAATACTAAAATGTATTTATTTGTTATTGAAATTTATTTTTTATAACATTTAGTGCCACCTTCAACTGCTACTGATGGTAATATTTGAACTATAAGTTTAAAAAAAACATGGAGTACATTTCTTTTTATGTGTTTGTAACACTTTTTTAATTATCTTTAGTGGCATGTCATGCTGATACCGCTGGTAGTTTGTAAATGATATATAAATAATAAATTGTAAATTATGAATCAATTTTAATACAATTCTTATTTGCTTGTAACACTTTTTATTATGTCTCTTTTAGTATCATCTTCATCGACAACTACAGGTGCGTTTTTGAGATTATAACTTTTTCAAATGTTTTTTCTTATAGTGACATCTACTTCTGCTGGTAATTTTTTAACATGTTTTTAAATTATATAAGAATTTCTATGAATTTAAATTCTTTTTTGCTTTTTATTTTGTAACTTTTAGGGCCATCTTCATTGGCTTCTGCTGGTAATTTTGTTATTTATAGCATTTTTTAAATGAGAATCAATTATGTACCAATTTCAATTACTTTTAATTATTTGTAACACTTTTTATTTTGTAATTTTTAGGGTCATCTTTATCGACTTCTGCTGGTATTTTCGCATATACTATAACTTTTTACTATATAATTTATGTACCAATTTTAAGGATTTTATTTGGTGCAACATTTTCTTTTTGTAACATTTAGAGCCCTCTACGTCTGCAATTGCTGATAATTTTGTAAATTATAACTTTCAAAAATTCATTATTATTTATTCATTGGTAACACTTTTATTTGTAATCTTTAGTGCAAACAACACCTGTTGTGTCTGGTAAGTCTGTAGTGTTCTAATTTTATAAAATTATCATAGACTAATTTCGAGGTGTTTATTTATTTTCAAGTTGTTTCTCAATCATATTCCGAATTCTTTAATGGTTCAGGAGATTTTCTTAATAAATAATTAGTTTCAACTTTTTAAAATGATAATCATTGAACTTTTTATTGTTATTTATTACTTTGTTTAATAATCGTATAAAAATGATATTTAATAGTAATTCATTGTTTGTTGGATATTAACCTTCTTTTTCCATATGTATTTCTGCTTTACTTTTAGATCTAACATATGCTGCATATCAAGAATATAGGTCCCAGCACCATGGTCCTTACTCCAATAAATCCTATCTGCGATGGGTAAGGAATGGGGGTAGTGATTCCCCTAGTTTTACATGGACACATGTGCCCCCAAACCCTGGTGCTGGGACAAGAAGAAGGAATTACCGCAGAGGGCGTGGTCAGAGAAGAGGCGGTAGCAGTGGGGGATTTGGAAACTTTTATGTCTACAATTCTTAAAGGTTTTCAAGTCCTCCACCATAACCAAAAAAAGAATTCTTATTTCTTATGTTAAAAATATTTAAATTTACAAAAAGGTTTTCTTCTTTTTTGGTTTGCTTATATATAACTATAAAGTTGTTTTTTTACATTTTTGAACATAGTAAAAAGGCTCCTCCAAAACTAAAATTTGTGTTTGCACCCAATATAATTGTTATTAATTTTTCTAAAATATATGTCTGCATTAGTTTAACAGTAAAACGTTAACATTTTTTTAACATTTTTTTTATTTTTGTTTTATTATAAAAAGTTATTTAAGTTTATAACTTCTTTTTTTTTTAACTTTTCTTTATTTTTCTTCTTATTCTATTATTAATTTTTTTTTGTGTGTGATACTTTGTATTTAATTAATTTTTTTTTAACAATATCTTATATTTAAAAATAGGTCCAATTTATAATATTTTTTATATTCACTTATAGTTCCTAAAAATTTGTTTTTAACCGCTATATTTGGATATCACGATAACTAGTAAGGTATTTATGTCTTTAAAAAGGTATTTATGTCTTTAATTGTATATTTAAGTATTTTTGTATAATTTTTTTAGTTTTTTTTTTCTGTTTTAAGCAAGGAGTTAAAAAAAAAACATTTCTATGATTTTAATGCAGTTACCAAACTTTATTTTTTATTTTTAAATAGATTTGTTTTGCCAGCCAAGTGTACATGTTTTATAATTTTTTGTAGGTGTCATGGGCCTTAAAAAGAATATTTGTTTGTTTCGTGGACCTGTGAGAAGTTATGTCTTTGAAAATTTCTCATTGTCTGGCGAAAATAATAATATCTGTAAGAAGGGACATGTACTTTACTCTTTCATTACAAATGGTGAGTCGTATTTTAAAACTGTTCATGAAATTAATCAGTTATTTAACTTAAAGACTTGTAAAGTTCAACTGAGGAGTGTTGTGAATGCATGCAAGAAATGGACTTTTAACTTTAAAAGAGATTATAATAATATCTCAATTTTTTGTAACGAGCCCTTTGTATGCGCAACTCCCATTGTACAAATAGCACAGCCATTACATACTAACACTATTAGTTCAATAAACCCTGTTTCATTATCATCAGTGGATTATCCTGTCGAACAAAACATTAATTTATCTTTAAAAAAAGGCAAACCTTCTTCTTTTTTAAATTATGTAAAAAATAAGCCACGTTTAGATATGTCTAGAGAAAATTTGAGTCCGAGAAAAAAAAAACTACGTACTAGGTTATCATATATATCTTCAATGTTAGCTAGCACTTCTAGAGGAAATCGAAAAAAAATAGCATTATTAAAGGCTAAATTAGGCAGCATGCCATACAGGTTAAAAGTATTAAGACAAAGTGTCAAAAGAAAAGAAGATATTATAAAAGCCTTACGACTCAAAGTTAGAGACCTAAAAAAAAAATTAAAAACATATCATTACAATAGAGTTATTCACCATTTGCAAGATGCAATAAAGACAAGAAAAACTAAAGAAAAAAAAAAATTGCGTGAAACGAATATCCAACATAATAATGATATTAGGCAAAATACAATGGTTATTGCAAGTTTTGAAAATGAATTATTAGAAATGGAAGAGAGCAAAATTCCTGTTATGTCTGAAACTGAAAAGTGTTATCCTTTAAACATTAGGCTAATAATTTATAGCATGTTGTTGTCAAATGTGCCTACAGGTAACATTCCATTTTTGTTAGAGAAAATTAGCCAGTATTTTGGTGTGGTAATTAATAACATACCCCATCGCAGTACTGTTGAGCAAATGGCTCGTGAATTAGGTAGTATATCAGAATTACAAGCAGCAGAATGGGCTATTCACTTTACGTCCAAAGATAAATGCCTTGTTATTGCTCTGGATCAATGCCCCGGAGGAACAGCTGATGATTACGAAAATCATATTTGTAGGGCAGTAGATCATCTAGCTTTTGTTTATTCAGATTTTTATTTACGTAATTATGATGAGTGTCGTCAATTGATTATTAAAAATATTTCCAACACAATGTCAGACAGAGTTGCAGTTAACCATCTGACCATAAGCAAAGTTAGTGCAACTTGGGGTAAAACTCTGAATGAATTGAATTGTCATTTGCACCCTCTTGATACAATTGCTACTGAATGTCGCTCAGCATTGAAGTGTCTAGAGACAGAAAAGTGTGAATTATTTGGCAATGATTGTTTAGCCGTCAAAATTGTTTTGGCTATGAATAAGATGAGGTTTAAAGACGGTAAAGGTGATCCAGAGGGATTTGTTACTTTTTTAGACCACAAAAAACTACCTAGGTGTATCATTCCTAGATATCGGGGAAACCGTCTCCATATTCTTTTTCATACTTGCTTTATATTTATTAAACACTATGATGATTTTCTAAATTTTCTCATCACAGGAACAGTAAAATGTGGCAGTTTGCAAGCAGCTCTGCGAGCAGCATTTTGTAATGCTACCGCTATAAAACAGATGTGTGTGCTTGGTGTATTTGGGAAACTGCTAAGTGGTCCGTGGATGACTAAGTTTTATGTATCAGCTGAGGATGCAAGTTTTGATCATCTCACTGGTATTCAGATTGTAAAAAACATTTTGGAAACAGTTAAGCTTTGCAAATCTAATCCGGCTGCAGTGTTTTGCAGAACAACTGATTTTTTCGGGGAAATGCTTCCCTCAAATGTTTTTGAACCAATAACAAATTTATGCTGCATTGATGATCAGGTTATCAACATGACTTCAGCTTGCCTTAATGCAGTGGAGGATGTATTGATTAGACAATATAAAAAGTACTTCTCCCTTTCCATTACGGAGACACTTAAGCAGGAAACAGCTAGTGCAAGGCTTCATAATATAGATAGTGAAGAGTTAATGGGTATGTTTAGTGAATGTAAAGGAAGATCCCCTAATGCAACAACTTGTTATATTTCTTGCAAAATAAGATCAAAAAAGAATAGGACTATTGATTATCTTGATAGTTTAGATCAACTAAGTAGAGAAAATGTAGTTAAGTGGTCCATTTTTACAGCACGTAAAGAAAGAAAGAGAAATCGCCTACAACATGCTCAAATTCGATCTGTAATATATAAGAAACAGACATGCAAGCGTCAAATGTTGGATGAAAAAGAAAAAAGGAAATTAGAACGAAAACTTAAATTAATGACTTTCAGCCAGATTAAGAATTTCTATAAACAATTGTCTACAAAGCAACTGGATGATTTAGATGATGTTATGTCTGACAGAATTGTTGGTAGAAAACTATGTCATGAATGGTATGACACTGAACAATCTAAGAATGTCATATACGATGGTAGAGTAGAAAAAGTAAAAAAAAGATTGCAAGACAGAATTTACACAATCTCTTACTGGAAAAAAGATGAAACTGATTCTGAAGCTGTTGATTATTGCATGAAAAAATTCCAGCTGGTCGCAGATGTTGTTTCAGGAGAATTAATTTTTTCTTAATGTTAATGTGTATTAATTGTTTTTAATGTTAATATGTATTGTTTTCATAATTGTATAGTTTATTATGTCCAAAATAGATACTGCAAATGTTATAAATTAAAAAGTCTTAACATTTGAAAAGTACCGCAAGTGCTGTGACTTGCAAAAAGGTAACCAGCAAGTGTTGTGACTTGCAAAAACGGTGCCGCAAGTAATGTGACTTGCAAAAAGGTAACCAGCAAGTGTTGTGACTTGCAAAATTGGTACCGCAAGTGCTGTGACTTGCAAAAAGGTAACCAGCAAGTGTTGTGACTTGCAAAATTGGTACCGCAAGTGCTGTGACTTGCAAAAAGGTAACCAGCAAGTGTTGTGACTTGCAAAAACGGTGCCGCAAGTAATGTGACTTGCAAAAAGGTAACCAGCAAGTGTTGTGACTTGCAAAATTGGTACCGCAAGTGCTGTGACTTGCAAAAAGGTAACCAGCAAGTGTTGTGACTTGCAAAATTGGTACCGCAAGTGCTGTGACTTGCAAAAAGGTAACCAGCAAGTGTTGTGACTTGCAAAAACGGTGCCGCAAGTAATGTGACTTGCAAAAAGGTAACCAGCAAGTGTTGTGACTTGCAAAATTGGTACCGCAAGTGCTGTGACTTGCAAAAAGGTAACCAGCAAGTGTTGTGACTTGCAAAATCGGTGCCGCAAGTAATGTGACTTGCAAAAAGGTAACCAGCAAGTGTTGTGACTTGCAAAATCGGTGCTGCAAGTAATGTGACTTGCAAAAAGGTAACCAGCAAGTGTTGTGACTTGCAAAATTGGTACCGCAAGTGCTGTGACTTGCAAAAAGGTAACCAGCAAGTGTTGTGACTTGCAAAATTGGTACCGCAAGTGCTGTGACTTGCAAAAAGGTAACCAGCAAGTGTTGTGACTTGCAAAATTGGTACCGCAAGTGCTGTGACTTGCAAAAAGGTAACCAGCAAGTGTTGTGACTTGCAAAATCGGTGCCGCAAGTAATGTGACTTGCAAAAAGGTAACCAGCAAGTGTTGTGACTTGCAAAATCGGTGCTGCAAGTAATGTGACTTGCAAAAAGGTAACCAGCAAGTGTTGTGACTTGCAAAATTGGTACCGCAAGTGCTGTGACTTGCAAAAAGGTAACCAGCAAGTGTTGTGACTTGCAAAATTGGTACCGCAAGTGCTGTGACTTGCAAAAAAGTAACCAGCAAGTGTTGTGACTTGCACAGATTATTGATAGACGGCTCTGGCTTACCTTCTCGTGGTGTCTATCGTTAAAAATGATTAATATTTTGTTTCATTAATGGAATTTAAAAGTTTAATCATTTACTAAAAGCCAAGACACTAATTAATTACAATGGGTATTTTGTTTTCACTAATTCACATAATTTTAAGTATTGTATATTTAAAAAAATATTTTACATGTTTTTTTTTAGGTCAGATGTTAAAGAATCAAAGAGCCTTTTGCCTAAGAATTTAAATACTCTTACACATCTTTTATTAAAAATTAAAGTGTTGAAATATTGTTTATTCTTATTTCTTTAATTGTAACTATCTTTTCACAATATTTTTCAATTTAAATTTATAAAAATAATTGTTTTTTTAATTTTTTATATTGGAGGGGCTCACGTTCTTTCCTATATGAAACTGGATAAACTATTGCTTTTTGTAAAGTGGTATAATGTCTGTTTATACTAATTTTTGACGTTTGAAAATGTAATCAAATATTTCTATTTTTTAATTAAAAAAATTCACAAAAAAAAATTTTTTTGGGGTGGGAGGGGAGGGATTCGCGGGCGCACGCCCGCGATTCCCTCAAGTAAAATTATAACTTACTGACTGACTCGCCCCACCCCTCAAGTAAAATTATAACTTACTGACAACTAGTTGTAATGTAGTAAAATATATTTTTTTAAGTGGGGAAGGAAAAGGGAAGGGGGGGGGGCCGCGCAGGCGTACGCCCCTCACTTTGACTCAAGTTATACACCACTAACCACTAGTTGTAAAGTACTGAAATTTAACTTTTATTTTTTATTCTAGATTTACTTATTTAATTGGAGATAAAAATATTATTTTTAAAAAGGAATCATTTTTGTTTATAGTACGTGTTAAACAAGCACCACCACATCCACCCTAACTTAAAGGTACACATCTCATATACGCTGGTGAACTAGGATCAAAATATTAAAACTTCTGTTTGATAAAAAAGAAAATATCCAGTATTAAAATACTTTTTTATGATAGAATTTTCAAGTTATTGGTGGTGAAAGTCGTAGTTCGGGGGCCCTCCTAGACGCCCACTCACGCCCTATAGCTAGATGCTACTATAAAATTGTAGCTCACTCTTACATCTATATTTTGATACCAAATTATAGACATTTCGACAAGAATTAGTAAAGTTATAACAATTTTCGGTACAAAAAAAAGTTTTTTGACCACAGTTTCTTCAACAATTTCATATATTCAAAAATCGTCACTAAAAACCTCATAACTTTGTTTTGAATTGTTCGATTTTGATAATTTTTTCACCGTTGAAATACTGTATTAATGCTCTTTTCAACGATATATAACAATATAATATTTTGTAAATTTAAAAATTTCATGTCACATACCTAATATATATATATATATATATATATATATATATACATATATTTATATAATTTTTAAATGAATAACAATTAAAAAAAAATTTTTTTTTAACAACATTTTTTATCAACATTAATTGATATCATCAGGTAAAAAAAATTACAATTTCTATATATAAACAATTTATTTGGCTGCATTAAAAATTTAATATTTTTACAATTGTTACCATAATTACTTTTTATAAGATAAATAATTACCATGAAGAAACTCTGACAATAATAGAAAAAGAGTCAGTTGAGTTTTTGTATTTTTGCGTTGAAGTAAGATGTTTGTAAATATAGGATGCCTTATCTAAATTTAAATGTTCTGAAACCGTTGTTGTGTAGTCTCTGGTGTTTTCACTAATATATCCAGCATTACAGCTGGAGCAAACAAATTTATAGACAACAAAGGTTTTTAAATTTGGGGGGTTAGGGGTCTTTGATGAAATCATACTACTTATTTTAAAAGTTGTAAAAACTAGTCTTGCTTTTATATTATCTTTACAATATTTTAAATGTATTTAATTAATTGATGTTAAAATGTATTTGAAAATTTTCCAATATAAGGGAGTTTAAAGTAATGTATATCAGATGGTTTTGGAGATGACATGTTTTCTTTAGGAGAGATAAGATTTTTAGTCAATTTTTGAAGGTTTTGTCAATTAAGTTGAAGGCAAAAGAGTTTTTTTGGAGAGTTTATTTAATTTTTACAATTTCTAGATGAAAACTTGCTGTTTTTTGAAGGCCCTATTGATCAGAGTTTTAATGAATTCTTGTTCATAATTAATATTAGTGAAGCTTTTAAAATTAGTTTGTAAAACTGTGTTTTTTTTGAAAAATTTTGAAGTATTAAATTTATAATTTACAGAGTTAATAATAATATCAATAAAGTTCAATTTGCGATCAATCTCTTTCTCTTTATTAAGTTTGGGGTTCTTAATAAACTTAAGAACAGTCACAGTAAAGGGATGAGACTTCATTGACGCATAAATTCATGAGAATGAATTTTAGTAGATGGCACAAGAGACACTAGGGCCATCATAGTATTTGTAGAAAAGAGAAAGAGAAGCAACATTAGGATGTGACAATGTTTGAAGATTGGCTGCAAGAACAGGTCCAACTATGTTTACGATTATGCACCTTATCAAAAAGAGAAAGAGCATCATTGGAAGATCCACCCCAGATATGGCAACTATTTCATAAAAGTATGACAGAATCAATAGTAAGAATGTGACAAGCCTGATAAGGAGATGCATGCTATTTTATTTTGAAATGGATTTGATATATGGTTTCTGAGAATGATCAGAGGTAAGAGTTAATTCTAGGAGCCAAAGTGTAGATGATTCATCAAGTATATTACCGTTCATAAAAATAGAAAGATCTCAATTATTGTGATAACGATTAGCTAAAAACTATTAAGTCTTATCTGAGTTAAAGTTCATTAGCCATTCAAAGCCTATATATATATATATATATATATATATATATATATATATATATATATATATATATATATATATATATATATATATATATATATATATATATATATATATATATCACCGTTCTCCTAAATGAGCAATTAGTGTCAACTCAAATTCCAAAGAAACCACAATATGCCTGTGAAAGCTCCTGGATTCCAAAAATATAAAAAATCAAATCATCCTATTATGTCCGAGAAAGAAAATTACTTTTAAAAATTTTTATTTTGCACATATTCATGAAATGACAGCATTCTCGAAATTTTACATTTTTACAGCATATCTTAACATTCAAAAAGCTCATTGAAAATAATAAAACCTACTTAACATAATAAAGAAACAAAAAATATGAAAATGTGAAAGATTTTATGTTATAAAATTGGTAATAATCCAAATAGGTTAAAGATCACTTGGGTAAAATATTGCTTTTCTGAAAGTTTTTTCTAATAAGTTAACTTTAGAATAATTTCATTAATAGTTTGGTAGTAATCCAAATAGGTAAAAGATCATGTAGGTAAATATAAAAGAAATATTAAAATAATTCCACATTTAAAGCAACAACATTCTTGACAAAAAAAATTCTTTACAAATTCCTAACTTTTCACAGACTTTTGCTGTTAAAATCAGCTAGGCACATTTCTAGCCTTTTTCCATAATCTGGATGGCTGATAGGTTGTTTGTATCGTTGCCAATGGTTCTGAAAACAATGATGAATAGATTCTGTTGCTTGCTCACTGTAGATTCCAAGAGGAGACCTTGTTTTTTGGATGAAGTCCTTAACATGAAAAAACACTGCATGTACTTTTGGAGTGATGCTTCCTCTTGGCAATGCCAAATATGAATCTCTGAATGAATCAATTTTTTCTGCATAAGTGCAATCCAACTTGCAGAAACAATGGGACTAAACTTTCGAAAGCTGTCAATGATGCTGAAAACTTGAAAGGCACTGTCATTTTCAGCCAGTGTTTGGAGAAGGTTGAAATTTTTGAAGAGCTTGTGGCAATCATTCCCAGCAAATTGACCACCATGAAAAGGTTGGGGCTGAATGTGCAAAGCTTGTAGCCATTCAGCTGATTCAGGCCAAAGGTCGGTTAAAATCTTGAACAGATGGT